TTGATAAACAGATTAAACCTGACGATAATGTTTTACAATCCCACGTCTGTTACACCTGACATTGTAAGGCATTATTGTCAGGTAATAAATAAGGTAAGATATTATTCTTTGACTCTGGTCGGTAAACCTTGCATTAAACATACGACAGAGAATTTGAATTTTACCTTTAAGGTAGATAATTAAATGACAGATATTTATTTTTAATATAATTTTTTAGATCTAAGGAATTCTAGATGATTATATTTCTTAACTTTATTTGTGACCAGCAGTTGTATTCATATTTTTTCGTTAAACTAAAGGAAAAATTTGCAATCAAATTGTTTCGTTCGCAAGAATTAATTCAATTTGAAATTTCTCTTTATTTTTTCTCAAAATGAAATGACAGCTTACAAGTTTTCTTTGCATTTCTACAGTATAAATATTTTTTTCTAAATAAATACAAACTATATTGAACAGATAATACCAACTTTCTATAATATCTTCTCAAAATTAGCAAAAAAAGTATACACACATTTTTCAAAAATGGTAAAAAGGTTTTCTTGATTCACTATAGACTCTACGACATTAAACAATCACAAATACTTGCTATTGTATTCCACTATGCAGCTTTTCAATCTGTTTGCATACTCAGGATGTGATGAAGACCTCTTATATCTCTGCCAATGGTTGTTAAAGTATTAATGAGTTGATTCAAGGGCCTGTTCACTGATTTCAATTACAAGAGTGAAAATTCCAAAAGGTGTTTTTTTTCTTGCAATAAATTCCTGCACATGGCAAAACATTGCACGCACCTTGGGTGTGACACTTCATTGAGTAAGAAAAGATAGGCCTTTTTGAAGTTGTCAATTTTTTTAGCATAATTGAAATCAAGCTCTTGACCAAAGCAAGCCTTGACAACATTATTGAATTTCCTCAGTGTGTTGGCAATTTCCACAACTTGAAATGCAGCATTTGATTCAATAAGCTGCTGTAATAGGTCTAAATTGTTTAAAGGTTTTCTGCAGGCATTGCCTCCATGATAAAATTCTTGGTGAATATGCAGTTTAGCAGGCCATTCTTCTGCCTTTGGCCGCAAGTCTTTCATAGCCTTGAACAAATGGTTGGTTACACTAAGAAGCAAGTGCAGTTCCATTGGGGAAAGAATGTCTATGATAAGTCTGTCGTTAGATCTTGTCAGAATGGGCTGATGAACAACATTGCTATAAACCTTTGCCTTCCTATGATCCCTTCCAGATGACTTGAAATCATAATATTTGACTTTGAGTGATCCAATTGTTTTGCTCTCACCACATATCTCCAAATTCTTTAATTCCACATTGCACCATGAACAAGGATGGGAACTGGAGTGTGATTGAAGTCCAAGAAGAAGGTTTGCTACTTTCAAATCACAAGAAATAAGAAGATCAATCTGATTTGGATTTATGAGTGACCAAATTTTCTTAAGGCTGTTAATGACTCTGGTAGATTCTCAGCAATAGTTTCTCAATGATGAGTTTTTGTCTGACACTAGTATCTTTGGCCTGTATTTGTGTGAGAAGTTGTTGTTTGTGGGGAGGTGAATGCAGTTCTTTAGAAGATTCATCTATATTTACACCAAAAGTGAATTTTAGGAACCCACCTCTACCATCTATACCAAGCTTAAAAAAATGACTGCAGAAAATATTTCTGTACATCAATACTTCATCAATTATGTCTTGCATAACTTTGCAATGAATGAGCAGTGAATGACCTCCTTCTAAATTTGCTTGCTTTTCTCCCGTGGGTATTGTACTCTGGGTAAAGAAGTCTGAGAGAGTTTTTCCAAAGCTGTCAAATTTTGACCAAAAGTATGGTTCTATCACTTTGGCCTTGGCAACTTGGTTCAAGGTGGATGCTAATTTTTTCATGCCAAAGTTAGACAATCCAATATTTTTTTAGACAGGAGCAAGGCTTTCTGTAGTGATTGGAGAATCATCAAAAAGATTTCTTGCAATTAAAGGACCTACAAGTAAATTGAATAAAATTGTTGAAAACTCAATAGAAAGCAGGCTTGTTAAAATAATCTCAAGTTATATGCCTTTGGAGCTATCAATGTTTAAATCAAAGCTAAATCAAATTTAAGAAACAATTCAATTAAAACAATAAGAAATGAAACAGTATCTGGTGTAACTTGTAAGGAAGGGCCTCTTCCAGACCTTGGCATCGGCATTGTGCCATTGGGAGATGATTCCTTTCTTGAAAGTACTTGAGTAACAATTTGTTCTGCAGTATTTGTATCTTGAGCTGCCAAAAGTCTCATATTTTCTCTAAATGTGGATGATACGCAGGAATGAGTCCACGTCCACGACCAATAACGCTTAGGCAGTCACCACACCTTCAAAGCTTCTCTCCTTCATGGTGGCGTGAGGGTCTTCTTGGTTGAGCTTTGAGTGCCCAATTTTGCAAATGAGGCAACAGTAGTCTTGCCCACAATTTAATGGTTTCACTGTGATGAATGAAAAATCAAATAAGACTGGAAGTTGTGCATTTTTCCCTGCATCTTTTTTTCTTAGAATTGTCCTACAAGCTTCACAAAGTCCAAGTGGAATCCTCACATCAGATGTTTCCAAAGGCTGATTGTAAATTGTTGACAATCTTTGAATTTGAAATTGTGTCAGTTGATTTGTACATTTGTGGAAATACAGGCAACAAACAGTTTTCCTGTATTCCTCATGATTCTTAGCCCGATTAAGCATTTTCAGTGTTTTTGTATCAAATTTCTGTTTAGCAAACTTTAACTAAAATGATAGCAAGGCCGTTTCCCGAAAAAATTTGTTTTATTATTAGAAAAATAGTTACAATATTCTAATTCCCGAAATTTTTAATAAAAGAAGAATATAAAAATTTATTATTTGAGTAATAAATAGTTATTTTGCAAAAACATAATATTTATTACTATTTCACATTCATTAACCAAAAAATTAAAAGTTACTGTAAAAATGCAAAAAATTTTTATAGTTTGATTTCTAAACTTGGTTCCCAAGTATCAGGGATGAATGTACTTTTACCCAATGCTAACCATTTCCTTAGGTCAAGCCATCAGAGTTTTTGACCCAAAATGTACAACGGTGAGGAGTGTTTGAGTGATCGTTACGATAAAAAAAAAAAAAAAAAAAATTTTTATAAAAGGGAAGGAACGATAGGTTCCATAACACATGTTTCAATAGCTATAACAAAAAAATTATTATTCCACATGCAATATCAAAAAATTTATTATTCCACCTGAAACTAAATAGATGCATAGGTAGCACGTTATTTATTATTGCCCCCTTCTAAACGTTTTTATTTTGAATTTCCTGTTTAATTTATAAAGGTCATTCCTTTAAAAAAAAAAAAGACTTCTCAATCTTGCCCGATGGTTTCTATACACTGCAAAAGTTTGACCTCGATTATCTGGTTATTGGGACTGTAAAAAACTGAAGGCCTTTTGGGATTAAATCAGTTTGTTTACCTCTTCAAAATACTCTTCTCAAAATCTAGTTAATAAATGTGCATAATGAATGTTTTTTTGGACTTTTTTCAAAAGCAGACGCGATAAAAAGCTCAACAAGTTTTGACAAACGTAAATTTTTTCTTAAATTTTATTTAGGTGCCCCAAGAAGTCTTTACGGTCTTATCGCAGATTACCACGGATGAGGATTTAAAGGGAAGTTTACGCTTCCTTCCTAACCGATGTCGCAAAGAATGGTCAAAGAATTGACTATTCTTTGCGACATCGGTTGTCAAAAAAAATTGATGATTAAAAATATTTTTCATGCGCAGGTTTGTCGCGCACTATACGCGCGTTACGTTTAACTACACGCCTAAAAAAATATGTATTGTTTTAAGGTGAGTTCCACTAATCCATTTTTTCACGGGAAAAATAATCACGTGGGCATGCGTAATATAAGTTTTAATATGTCCGATGGAAAACTACGCATACTCACGTGATTATTTTTCCTTTTCCTATTCCGTTCCCGAGAAAAAAAGGATGAGTGGAAACTCACCTTTATAATATACGAACCAAAACAAACTATTTTGATACATCACACTATTGGATATTTGTATAACAATGGTTTTAAAAGGATGTTGATACTTGGGAAAAAAACAATTTTTTTTAACAATTGGTCAAGATTTGAAAAGCCAATTAAATAAAGTTGCATGCTTTTGTGCAACTGGACTTTTCATATTGCTTTTGATTAATGTAAAGAGCAAAGTAAAGTAGGGCTATGGGATATACTATGGGATCATATGGGACTTTTTTTATAGTTAATTTTTACTTGTCTCTAATATTGGCTTTATTTATACAAATGAAAATATTTTTTTTGGATGATTTAAAAAATAAAAATTTTATTAGATATATAAGGTTACCTGAACATTGATAGATTTAAATACATTATTTTTGGTTTTAACAACATTCAAATTTAAATAAAAATGCCGTGAAATTCACGAGATTCAACCTTTTCTATCATTATGCACGATGAAAGCCTTACTTAACCCTTAATTCAATAAAATTACAATCCCAATACCCTAATATCACAAATATGTCAGAGAGAATGAAAAAAAGTTTAAAAACAATTTATAAATTAAAATTGGGAGTTTTTGCCACTTCATCACATCTTTAAGACATAGTAAAATGCCATCTTAGTTGTGACCTTCGCTCTTTAATTCGCACCTAAAAAGATTTTGAATTATCATTTTTATATACTTAACGCTTTGGCAAGGTACGTACCCAGTAATTACGCCAGTCGCTATTTAAAAGTTTTGAATCAAAGGAAATAGCTAAAAAAAAACTTATTTATATATAAAAAAAAGCTTATAAATAAATACATATACATCTGTATGATATAAAAAATAAAAAAAGAATAAATATTGTTTCTGTTTTTAATAAACAAAGCAGCAACAAGAAAAGAAAAAAAAAACAAAACAAAACTGAAATGACTCCATCGCTAATTAGGAAATTCGCCATCAATTGATGTGACCTTGACTAAATAAAACAAGCGCAAAAGTTCTCACTGTTTTAAGAGTTAAATTACTTTTTGAAGCATAACAGCCTGTGAGTGGTAAACAACATCGATTACACACGGAGCTTGCTCCCATGGCTCACCATCGAGTTGCATTGGTACGTTGCGTGCTTCTTTAGTTTTGTGTATTGTGATCTAAAAAATGTTATATATATATATATATATATATATATATATATATATATATATATATATATATATATATATATATATATATAGAAGTTATATATTTTATACTAGATATATTTTTATAGCAGATATATATTTTATATTAGATATATAATAACGCATAATATCAAATGTCTAAACTTGACACCCTAAATAGGAGTTTGCATTTACCTTAACATGCTTTGCTCTCCCCAATTTAACCGGACTAGACAAGTTTACTTGTAATTTAGCAATATGTAATGATGAATACAGGCCTGCCACTTCCAAAAAACCATCATTAAATCTACATTTATTTAAAATATAAAATTTTATTTAATAAAATTAAACTATTTTTTTTTTTTAATTTCAAATGGAATAGAGGAAACAAGGGGAATAACTGTAGCTCAAAAAAGAAAACACACACAAAAAAGAAAAGAAACATGTAGAAAACGTAGAAAAAAATGTAGAAACGTAGTTTAAAAGATATAACAAACCGCATAAAAAAAGAAATAAAAAAATATTACAAAAAAAAAAAAAAAAAAAAAAAAAAAAAAAAAAAAAAAAAAAAAAAAAAAAATGAAAAATGAAAAAAAAAGTAGAAAAGTTTAAACATAAGCATAAAAAAAAAAATGGCACATAAGTATAATTATAATTAACAAATATCAATTAATCATGATTACTACTTAAATTTAAAGCAAAATAGGAATAAAAATTAAAAAACAAAGTACAATTTAAAAAAATGTCAAATATTCTTACTGAGAGGGCATTTCAGTATTGGCATTGTCAGAGGAATCCCATATTCGGCAACCACCACACCAACTGTTAATATTTAATACTACAACACCTTCCAGTTGTGGTAAGTCTATTTTAACACCATCTAACTCCAACTCTATGCGCTTGTGAAGGTTTTTACACTCTGCTTCAAGGACATCACGTGAACCATAAATAAAGTACATTAGCTAAATAAAAATTTAAAAAATTTTTAATTAAATTTGAGTTTAAAATTAAGTAAACTTGAAAAGCAGCTTTAGAATTGAAAGTAAACAATTATGCTGAGTGAACTGGGTATACCCCTTACTGATTGCCTGAAGTAAACCTATTCAAAGTAAAAAAATTCAAATAAAAAACTCTATTTGCTGAATTCAACAAACACAGTTTAAATAATGTAAAAAAAATTTCCTAAAAATTGATAATAATATTGATCATTCTTTGTTAATGATTTTTTAAAAATAGTTTCATTTTTATAAAACAAGATCTAGTTTGCTGAAAAAATTTTATTTTCTGTTACGCATTTATAAACGTTTGATTATAAAAATTTGAAATCAAGAAAACATACTGTGTCAAGAAATTACTTGACCTTTAATTAACTGAAAATCAAAACTTTTCCTTTACGCAAGTAGAAAAGGCTTTGTTGCCTGTAACAATGAAAACTAGGAGGTATATTGATATGGCAACTAACAAATCAAGAAATTTAAAGGTTTAATATTTAATCAAATTAAAATTAATATTATTATAACTTGCAGCAAGGACCAACAAAGAAAAAAAAACTGCATACCTTATTTATAATTCTGCTTGTAAAAAGAAATGGCTGATATTGACGATGGCGATGAAAGTTTAATGTAACCTGTGCGTCACATCCTACTGATACATAGCTATTCATATATACTACCTAAAATCATAAAAAGACAAATAACAAACAAATCTAATCACGCTATTTAAATCTATACTTCACATAAAATTATTATTAAATTATTTTGTCATTATTTACAAAAACAGTAAACCATTAACTTACTTTTGTCTTCAGTTTTTTGCCAAAGTAACCACTATTTTTAATGCTAACTTGCCACCTAATTTAGAAAAATATTTCTTACATTTTATATTTTATAAAAAACCTTGTATACCAAATTAACTTATTAAAATCAACTTACTAAAACTAATAACAATATATCCAGTTAAAACCAATAACTCATCAAAAATGGGAAATTTAAACAAAAAAACTAGGTGTTTACCAACCAAAGTGCTCATGGGATACACAGTACCCTCTAATAAGTTAGGAAACAGTACTAACAATTTAAAAGTTTTCAACATTTATATAATTTTCTTTAATATAGTACTATTACACTTGTGCGAATCGCTTCCAAATCACAAGTAAAAACATAATAGATTTAAAACTTTTAAAGGTAAGCCAAACTGTTTTATTAATATATTACTTTTACCTTTTTGTAAAATTTTGCTATTATTATGATCATTATTGCATTTAATAATTATGAGTCACCAAACAAGTGTTTTAATGCTGCGTGTTAAAAAACACATAGAATATTATGTTTTAATGCCCTTTGTAGAAAAGATGCCTGGTTATTGGAGATTATCAATGGAAGAGAGTTAAATAGTTGTTTTTAAGGTTGAGAGAGGATTTGTACTCAAAAATCAGCAAGGAGATGAATAAAACACTAGGTAACATATCAAAGATTGTATCAAAATACAGACAAACCAAGAGTTGTTATGATCAATCCAGAAGTAGATAACCACAAAAGATAACAATTCGTGAAGATCAGATTATTGTTCCAGCCTCACTTGAAAACTGTTGCTTAACTATCCCCAAAATTACCTCAAAAATCAATAATCAAGATATCATTCATTTAAGAAAAAATACTTTTTGTAAACAACTAGTGGAAGCAGGATTATGTGGCTGTGTGGCTGTCAAAAAAATTTTTTAAGCAACTAAACTTTGCTCATGAACATCAAAACTGTGCAGTTGATCAATGGAAAAAAGTTCTTTTTTCTGATGAAATTACTTACTAACTCTTTTGTAGTTCAAAGCGAGTGTTTGCAAGATTGTTGTTTCCCTATGGTTAAGCATGGTTAAGCATGGTTATGTCAGTAGAGATAAAAATTGATTTTTTGGAACTTTAGACTCTGAGAATAAAGGTATTGAATTCTTTGGACTCTTCGCACCTTGGATACTTTTTTTATCTTAAAATCATAGATCATCCAGGTCATATTTTAAAAATCAGGAAAATTATTTGGGTAAAATGTCTGGAATATATTTTCCTCTTAATTTTGCTTTTAATTTTTTTTTGTTTATAATTTTTTTCTCAAACTTTTTTTGATTTTTCTATGAGTGATTAGTGAAAAAGCTGAAAACAAAATGTTATCCACATTAATTTTGTAACAAGAAAACTTAATGATAGTAAAATTTTACTGTTGCAGAAAGGATTTAAAATTTTTTATAACATTTCAAAAGACCTGATTTTTATAACAGGTCTTTTGAAATGCATTTAACTAATGAAAATGCACTTTAGCAGTGACAAATTTATATGGATTATCTCTAAAATGTCTACAAAAATATTCAATTACCTGTAACCTATTATAACTTTTATTTTTTTGATTTATATAAAATACCATTAAAATAATTTTTCAAATCGAATTTTACCTAATTTGGCATTTCTTTAGTAAAGTAGACAATTACGTAAGGCATGCAAACAAATTCCATAATTAACATTTTCTTTAAACTTGTTGTGCCATAGGTTTAGCAAATGTTGAGTTATACATCTACTACAGAATTTTCAAAACGCCACCTAGTGTTATCAAAAGTTAAAAAACTTATTTACATTAACTTTATTTCTTTTTTCATTTAAATTTATGAAACCACTCTAATACAGTAAATTTTTAAACATACTTTTTGACCAGGTATTAAATTTGTACTAATAAGGAAATTATAAATCATTTGGTGACACTCATACACCCAACAAATGCTTGCTAAGATAATAAAGAAAATCTTTTAGATTTTTTGAAATTTTTTTGAAACCGTGTTATTGGGGTAAAGTGGGACAAGTGTGAGTAGAAGTGGGACAAATAAATTTAAAACAACATTTTAACATAAAGAAAGGTTCAAAGACAAACCCCTGCTTAGATAATAATCAAAAACTAATTTAAACTCCTTTTAAAAATCAAACTGTATTAACTGATATCTTAAAATACCATAACTTAGTATTTATTACTTTCACTAGTATTTTTAATACTCCAAATATTTGAATACAAAATATTCTTGTGTTCTTTCAATCTTAAGATTTATAACATTCAAAATTTGAAATTAAAACCAGAATATGAAAATTTTATCCTTTTAAAACAACATCATTAAGTTTGTTGATTGGGAAAAATTTGCAAACAAAAAATTAAAGCAGTAGACTGGTATAATGGTTGTCCATAGTAGAAACAATGGTAGCCAATGGTAACAATAATGGTAGTCGATGACTCAAGTAAGTAATTAGCAATGCTTTATTTGCCCAAAATGTGACTAGACAAAGTTAACTTTAAACCACTGTATAGTACTGCTATTATAATAGTAATTATGTTATACAATTATTATAAAATTATTAAAGAATGCTTAAATAAAGTATATGCTGATTGTCCACAATCTGATGGGACCCAACAAAACAAAAAATAAATAAACTTTTTAAAGAATTTTACACGATTGTTTGTGAAAGGCCAATTACTAACATTTATACTTTATTTTTGATTATTGAAAAATTTTCAAAAGTTATTCATTAAATGTAAACAAAACCAGACCACATTATCCAAAGAACATTTTCTTAAGGTTTCTGCTCTGAAACATTTTTATAGGATAAAAATAACTGAGAATTATTTTTTTTTACTTGTTAGTCTAATTTACCTATCAAATTGAACAACTTTAGCTTCTTCAATGTCTTTTAACAATTCTTCAATTTCATGTTCATCCCCAACATATTTCATTCCCCAACCCATCACTCGAGCAAGATCATTACCTGTTCCCATTGGATGGATTCCAACTTGTGGTTTCAACTTGATAAAAAAAAAAATTAATTTGATTAAGTTAATCTGGATATGAAATAATATTAACAAATAATAGATATTATATAAAAATAATAAAGATACAAAAAATAAAGTAGTGTAAACTTTAAACTATAATTAAAAAAATTAAAAGACAGCTGAAAAAATGAAAATAAAACTGCATAGATGTAAATTGATATTTATATAAAAAAGTATGAAAATCTCTCAAATATTTAACATAATAATGATTACTGATATTATCAATCACTTATAAATTTGTTCTTTCAAGTTTAACATTCATGGCTCCACACTTCCATAATTTGAATTAGTTTGCCCAACACCGATTTAATATTTAAATATGATTTAATAGAATAGAAAAAGTCATTTTTTACAATTATATGCTTTCTGGTATTACCCTTCTCACAAATTTTTTGTTAATATAATAATAAAAAAAATATATATACACATTTTTTTTCTCAAGGTTACTATTTTAAATTTATATGTGTATTAATATACACAAATATATGCATACTTATAACATTATTAAAATTTACATAATAGGTTTGAAAATCTAGTGAACTACGTCTAAACATATAATATGTGTTACATATTATATTACTTTACTGAAGAAAACTTGCATTTATTAATTAATAAAGTTCATCTCAAACGAAATATTTGCGCTGAAGCCTACTTAAATTAAGTATATATATATTTCTAATTTTTGTCTTCAACAGAGATTTATAGAGGTAGAAAATGGAATTAGGAGTAAGGAAATAACGCACAGTAAAGAGAGGTGAGCTTAACAGGTACTAACTTTAAAATGGATTGTTTATATGGTTTCCATGAGAGGGAATTAGTGAAAGATAACTCAAGAAGAAATGAAGCAGAGGGCTCTGCAAAAAGTTTTGCCATTTATCAATATAGGAACTTCAACAATATTAGGATGAATTTTAGCAGTAAACAAAATTTTTATTGATTTAAAATTCACCAGCCCCTGTAAACCCTAAGCTGCATGTTCTAAGTGATCAAAACAGGAATTTTTGTCATGAATGAAAAATCAGAAAATAACTTAAAGCAAGATTATCAGAAAGATAAATAATATAGAGAAGGAACAACATAGGACCAAGGATGGAGTAGTTAAGTACCCCAGAAGTAAATAGAAATAAAGTAAATTATTGTCCATTAAATGACGACTTTTATACTGCAATTTGAAAAAAATGATTTCATTTCAAAAACTTACCTACGTGCTTATTATAAAAGAAGTTTACACGCCAGTCGGTCAAAACTCTCTACACGTCAAACTTAATCAAAAGTCTTAATATGTTAGGAGCAAGAACTTTTGCCTCAGAAGAGTCATTAGGTTTAAGAGTTGAATAAGACCAAAAAATTTTTCAAATATTTCTATGTTTGGGAGAAGAAATAAGAGCAGATTCATGTATGAGAAATGGGATTCTAGACTTAGTTTATTAATGACATGTAAAAGAAACTCTCAAGAACCTAATTTCTTAAAGAACTTAATTGATTAAAGATGAGATTTACAAATCTGATAATAATCAACTTTAGCATCAGAAAATGTGAGGCGATTTTTTTTCTGTGTTTAGTTTATATTTAAAAAAATGTTCTTCAACTTTTCTGTTTTTCCAATGAAATTCTATTTTTGTAATATAGCATTTGCTTGCAGTTTGCAAATGACCACAGATGTTTTTGTTAACTGCGTAATGCAATATACCTTGTTTTTTAAACTACCCAAGCGCTTTGATCTTGTTTGCTAATAAAAGATAGTTAACTAAAGCTATAGCAGAGTATGTCGAAGTATCAAGATGGTTTATCTTTTTGTTAACTATGGTGTTTATCATACTGAAAGATTGCTCAACCTGAGGACAACTAAATATACTTAGACATGCCTTGATAATTTTTCTAAACTCTTAACATTTTTGACACTTATAAACTTCTACCCACTAATAGACAAAGCATACGGGCTTTGCATCAGCAAATACAGGTGGAAGCGCTACATCTATCTGAAGCTGCATAACTTCTTGATTTAAATATTACTTTATTTATATCAACAGGGGGAAAGAAAGTTGGGAGTTTTTTTAGCATTCTCTCTGTAATTTCGTGACCTTGAGACATTGGGTCAATTGCAGGCAGGCATTTTAATAAAGGGCTATTAAAAGGAAATTTATTAAGTAAGTTAACTGGTGATTCAAGGTAAGCTTTTAGCAAGGTCTTAAAAAATGATGATTTGAACCCAGGATTTTGAAAAATTATTTTTGACAAAAAAAAAACAAAAAAACAATTACAATAGGTTTAATAGTAGGCTTTACTGTATTTGTGCAAGTACTGCCAATATGCTATTATCTGGAGCGCCGTATGGCAATTTGTACCTTCTTTTTTAAATTAATTAAAAATGACGATGGTATAGTTTTGTTTGACTTAATCGTTGCATTTTGACAATGTATTTTAGACTTTGAGTGGGGGAGTAAAGATTTTTTTCACTTCATAATAAAAGTCTTTACTACATTTTGTACATCATACTTAAAACAACAAATCAAACTATATAATTATGATGAAATTATATATTTCAGTGTTCAGCGGAATAAATTTAATGCTTCAGCTTTATTTCTAAATAATAATCTTCATTAAAGTCTGAATAATAATACAGGAATTAGGAATAAACAAAAAAGTGAAGTACCTTTATTTAAAAAAGTGAAGTACCATAAAACTATAGTGTGCAAAATTTTAAAGTCAAAAGCCTTCTTGATTTCATCTTATTTTAATTTATTTTTTTTAGTGTTGTTCTGGCTTTTAAATAATTCGACAGTTGAATGAAATAACAATATATATTTTCTATAGTTGACTAAAATTGACTGATATAAAATTGATTAATATGACTAATTGCACTCTATTTTTTTTCTAGTAACTCCAAACTTAATAGTGTTTGCTTGCAGCTTTGTTGGGAGTGTATCAGAATTAAAAAAAAAAAAAAAAGAAAAAAAAGCTGTTGACTGAAATAAGTAAGTGAATATAATATTTATAATTTTACAAAAGTCAAGGAAAAGTCGGGGAATTTAAATGGATTCATTCAACAGTAAACAGTATAACTGCTGTTTTTTTAAGAAATATCAAAAGTAGCAAATAGCTTTTTTTTAAATGTTTTTATTATTAAGTCACTTGAAAACAATTCTAGGAAAACTTTTTTTTATTATTTTTGTATCTCAGAATTGTCAGATAAACTCTTAAATCGCATTTCATTTTTTTCTTCTTCTTAATAGTAATAATTGACAAAAAAATTTTGTAAACTTTTAAAATAGAATTTACATAAATTAACTTCTTACAAAAGTTAATTTCTAATATTTAAAAAAGTTAATTTCAATAAATAAATAATTTTTTTTTTTTTTTTTGCTAAAATTGATCTCATGCAAATATCAGTTATAGAAAACATATTTGCTCAAATACAAACATTGCCTTATTTAAAATGTTCATAACTTTTTACAAATCAGTAGCAAATAAACATCCAGAAACTTTCAAAAACTTAAAGTAGTTTTAAGTTAATTTCTGGAGTTCTAGAAAAAAACTCATCTATGGACTAAAGTCATCACACCAAAGATAAACACAAATTTTCTACATAATTTATTTTATGCATTTGTTTAAACTTCATATTATATTTTGCCATATAATGCTCCTATACCCCAAGATATTTTAAGCTTAGCATCGGAACAGCCACAAATTGTCATAAAGAATGATTAAAATTTATGTCTGTTATTACCTAACATTTTTGCAATCCAGACCCTACCACTCAAAGACAAAGTTGACAGGGATTGAATTGTATTGCATAACATTCTTGTATTGTATAGCATAACATAACTTGTACTGCATAACATACAAGGTCTTAACATTTAATTTGACCCTCTATCAACTAAGCTACTCAGTTACGATAATAATCATAGAGAAGTAATAAGTGTGTATCTGAATCAGAAACTCAAATAACTTTCTGAACATGTTGAACATTTTCAGAAAATCTGGGGATAAATAAATTATCATTGACATTTATAACAACAAGAATTTCAAGATCAAATACCAAATTAATATTGTTTAAGTGTTATACTACAATTAATGATTTTAAACTTCAAAAATAAATGAAACAAACTTTAAACATAGAAAATGACTGTTATCAGTTATTTAATAATCCTACCTGAGCAGTAACCAATGGGTGGGTATTCGAATATGAACTGATTGAGAGAAGTGAGTTTGTTTGGCTCGAACGCTTAGTTATTTTTTGGTTTGAATTTACTTCCAGCTCAAAGGCTCCCGCAAATGACTTAAAACTGTTAAAATGATTGTGTGCGTGCAAAAATGTAAATGAAAATATTTTGAAAGCAACTGTAGAGAAAATGTGAACGGAAGTTTGATGTGAGTTTTCTAAAAGCACTTCTCCACCTTTTGTTTAGAAGTATAAATAACAAAGGGTTGATGGCGGAACTGCTGTAATGAAACACTTTAAAATCTTCTTCTTGTCCGTTCATTAATTTATTTTTAAATTTATGTGCGTAATATTTATTAAACATTTTAACATATTAATATAAACCATTTATGAATAAAGTCAATATTGCTCCAAGTTTTCTTGACAATAATGTTTCTATTTAAAATAAAAAAAGAATTCCCCCCTTCTCCCTCACTGCCAAAATTTTTATTACAGCCTAACCTATACTAACCTATTTCTAGTTTAAAAAAAAAGTTAAGACAAAAATACTTTTAAAACTAAAAATCAACTAAAGCACTTTTTTAGTAAAAACACTAAACGAAAAAATATAGATTTTTTCAATTTTTGAACTAAATGCTGATTTCTTGCACTGTCCATTAAAAAATTAGCTTTAAAACAAAGAGTATTTTGAAACCAAGGAAGTATCGCTGGGATTTAAAGTAAAGAATGAAAGTATGCTGTAGCACTCATTGAAGGATTCAATAAAAAGAACGAGAAACTTTTTTTAATTACATTTTTTTATTGCAAATAAAATTTTTGTACAAAAATTTCCTGACACTAATAAATCTAAATTGTGTCAACTTTAAATTAATTAGAGAAAAATCAATAAGCAAAATGAAATTAAAATCTGTTTTATAATTTTGTCTTAATCTTTTAAGTTTATTTCTTAATCATCATTTATTTAACATTTTAATTCATCATTGTTTCATAAACTCAATAAATCTATACACCCTGGGTGCTTTATATCTAAAAGTAGTTGAAATATGTATTTAAGTATGAGTTTAAAATAAAGAAAAATTAATTTAATAAAACTGATAAAAATAGTTAAAAAAATATTTTTTTGTTGATTTTTATAGCTTATATGATCATGATAAAATTATATCATTCAAAATGTTTAACTTTTATTATTTTAAACTTTTTACCCCATTTAAAAATTTAAAGAGGTTTACATCTGTATATATGAATATATATACATATATAAAAATATTTATATACAGATGTAAATATCTTTGAAGTCCCAAAGAAGACTTCTATTTTGTGATGAATAACTCTGGAATAAAATATGTTTATATATTTTATGTATAATGCATTTGCTATTTAAAAAATAAAGAAAAAGTAACTTACTGGAAGGTCAATTTTATCAATAGTATTAAGTATCCAACCAACAGTTCCATCACCACCACAGACCAATATTCTGCATTGTATATCTGGAAGTAGTCGACAAAACTCAAGACCAGATTCTGCAGTTGTTTCTAAAAGATCTATCACCTAGATATTAATAAAGATATGTTTTATCACCAAGATTTTAATAAAGATAGTATAAGATTTTGGAATAGGTAAAATCGATAGCAAGGAAAGTTTTTTATTGTTTTTGTTTTTTAACAATCAACTCCTAGCGCTAGTACCACACCTCTACAGTATGGACAGTTCTCCATTATGTCATTTTCTTTCTTATATACATGTTACTATTAAAGAGTAAACTGTTCTAGGAGATAATCATTTTAGGTTTATAACTGTTCTAGGAGATAATCATCTTAGGTTTATAAACATTTATTATAATCGTATTTGTTTATAAATAGAATTACAATCCTTTTGTTTATAAAATAGAATTATAATCCTATTTGTTTATAAAATATAAATAAAACAAAATATTTGTTTATAAAATAGATCTTTAATTGTTTCAATACTTTAATTGGTAATAAAGTTATTAAATTAATTCAGTATAAAAATGTAATAAAGGATCATAACACTTGACAAAGTTTTTAATAAAACAAATTAAATGCGCTCAAATATAATATTTTATACAATACAATTATTGTAATATGCTATGTTAACATTAGGCCTTGAGCATTCAGATGTAAATTTTATGAAGTTTAGATAAAAACTTTACATAACTTTAAGTACACTAAAACTATTATGTTTTGAAATATTTCATATTATTAACAATGTAGTTTATGCAATTCTCCTCCATGTAAGCTTATGTGGAGAAAACTCAAGTTTCCACTACCTAAGCTTGACTTTGATGATGAGCAACAGATAAATCAATAATAGCGACTCCAACAAACAAAGGTTCTTAAAAAAGATGTTTTTACATTTTACAAACAGAAACATTTTAAAGCATCAATTTTTAATCAAAACATTAATTTAAAACTAAAACAACACAGTTTTCCTGTATTTTTAAATCTCACGCAATTCAAAACAACACAGAACTTGATAAAAAGATTTATTACACCAGCAAGTAAACCAGAAAAGTCAGAGAGTTCTCACCATAAAAACCTTTTGTTGATTTAGTGTTTAAAATAAATTATAATAGTGTTTTATAAATAGTGTTAATAGAGTCAAATGAAATAGTAAAAAATTTAAATTTTTTTTAAAGTTTTAAAGAATTTTGAGTATTTAAATATATAAAAATCAAATAATTTTGTCAAAATAAGAAACTTTATTTAACTGGAAAAATAAACTATTTCATTCTTTTCTTATATTTGGGGAGAAACAATAGATATAGTTTCTCCGCAAATTGAAATTGATGGGTAACTATAAGAATACTTAATTAAAAAATGCAACCAATAATAACAATTAATAAAACAACCAATTAATATTTTTATTTATGTAACAATTTTGAGTCTTGAGTTGAATAAAATGATTCTAGTTAAGTTCTGACTCGTGCTGCACTTTTTGGTGCAAAACTTGGCGTCTTTTATTTATCGCTTCAGAATGCATATTTGACAAAGCCAAAGCTTGCATTTTGAATTTTCACACTGCTAATATTCACTATTTTGACTTGCTGAAGCTTTGCTCAAAACATCACGGCACTTTTTTCACTAGTGTTGGTCTGCTGCTGTTGTTGTTGTTGGAGTCGCTGTTGTTGATTGATTTATCTGCTGCTTATCATCAAAGTCAAGCTTACATTGTTTCCTAGCTTGTTTTGCTGCTTTTTTGCTGTCAGCATCTTTTAATCTTTATGCTGTCAGCATCTTTTAATCTTTATGCTGTCAGCATCTTTCAATCTTTCGAATATTTTATAAATTTATAAAATCTTGGCATGTCTAGATTTATTTTATTATTTTGTGTCAATGTGATTGGTCTAAAACATTTGCTATATAGCTGCAGCAAGCAATTGAGTCCATTGCAATTAATATTTAAATTCTTTTTGAACTTCCTTTTGAATAACCAGGGTTATATTGAGGATTGGTTGCAGGCAAGTTGACTGCGGAGTTAATTTTGTGGCAGGTACTATACAACATATACTGATGCTAGATGTTTCTGGTGAAGATTTAAAAGACAGTAGCTGAGATGGTGCAGCTAATGGTGTTGGTGGTGGCAACACTGGTGGTGGTGGTGATTCATGTGGTTAAGATGACAAAAGCTCAGGTTGAGACTCTGATGCTTAACCTATGACACTAGTGGTTAATGAAAAGCTTGTACCAATCTTTCCCTTGTGTACTGTTGGAAAGTCGTTAACTAAAGCGATGAAGTTCTACGAAAGCCCTAAACTGATAATTTGATGAGTGTATGTACCGGAATTGATTTAAAATGTTCCAGCAACTTTGTGTTTAAACCACTACCAATAGTTTCACCTACACCATAGACATGTCTATAAAGAGTTGCTACTGGTATGCTGAATGATTGAGCAACTTTGTTGAGTGAAAGTTTGCCACTTTTTATTTTCTCCACTAGGTCTTAATTTTTTTTTTTTTTTTTTTTTGCATAATAGTTTTTTGTGCCATATTTTATATTAGAAATGATTTGATAATAACTGATTAAAAAGTTAAATGAAGAATTTACAGAGATTTATTGGTCAGTTTAGATATAACTAGTTAATAAAAGCTCTATTTACTAAGCAAGTAACTTGCGTATATTATTTGACCCCATAGTTCACTGTTTCCATTTTTAAGAATAATTACAAATAATTGAAAAGAATAATTAGCTAATGATTGGGGTATTTCATTCAACCCCATAGTTCATCATTTCCGCTTGCACAACTCTTTTTATCGGAAATAGCAAATTTCATTTCAGAGAGTTTCAGGCTTATTTAAAAAAAAAAAAAATTAAAATTACTACACAACCTAAATTTGACCTTTCATAGAAAAAAAAATTTATTTTGTATTAAAATTTTTTACTATCTTATTCAGAAAAAGATTCTCCTCAACATGATCAAAAATATTAGCAAAATATTTATTCAATAAAAAAAGTAGGAGCAAAAGAACAAACATTGTCATAACTATTTCACTCTATTCTCTATTTCATTTAACCTGCTTTTACTCTTTAATATACAAATTTTTTTAAGAAATTTTAAAAATTAAAACTACAAATTATCTTAACTAAAAAAAACTGCTGTCATAACTCATACCAAATGGTATTGTAATAAAACAAAAGCGTATTCAAAAGAACTAGGAGATTGTTTATTATTACTAAAAAAAACTTAAAGAAAGTCCTAAACAAGTTGCACAGACTTCGGCAGTTGAGTATGAGATTGAAAAATTATTTTAAAAATTATCTGTTATGAAAATGCAAGAAGAATGTATAAAGCAAGAAGAATGTATGTCATAATTATGTCATATAAAACTTAATAATTATGTCATATAAAACTTTATAACTATGGCATATAAAAGCATCTTCAAAGGATCTTTTCTTATAGAGAAGCAAAAAATTGCTTGTTAATACAAAAACTGAACAAAAAGAACAAAAGTACAACGAATAGTTATATAAAATGGTTTGAATAGGAAAAACTATTTAACATATAAATAAATGAATTTTTTTTTTAATTTAGTTTCAATGCAAAGTTTTGTAATCATTAAAGAAAATAAACAAAATAATTAAAACTTATAAAAATATATATAAAATTATATATAAACTTATATATAAAAAATTATATATAAAATTTATAAAATGTATAAAACTTCAATATGATTAAGATTCAAACTATAAAGCATGAATTTTTCAACATTATTAATAATAAATATATCGATAACAATAATTGCTACAAAAAGAATTTACTAAAGTGTTTTTGTTTGTTTTAAATTTATCAAGTTCTGCCTCATTTTGAATAATGTTTTGAATTAAACTACAAAAATTAAAGAATGGTAAATTCAAGTATATGGTAGTGGTGTAGTGATAAGCTTGCTTGAGAAGTGAGAGATATAGATTTTAAACCTACCTTCAGAGTTGTTAACAAGGCCAAATATGGCAACGCCAAGCCACACGTTACAAGGCCAAGGTCAAAAGTTACAAGGCCAAGGACAATGCCAAGAGTTTTAAGGTCAAGGCCAAGGTTAAGAGTTTCAAGGCCAAGGGCTACGCAAACATTTTCAAGACTAAAGACTTGAATTTTTGCTTTAAGTTAAGGCCAATTATTAACAAAAAGTAGCAAGTGCTGTGACTACACATTTTGTAAAAATAGACCAAGGTTATGCACAGAATTCAACAAAATAAATAAGAAATTATGTATAATTTTTAAGGCCAAGGCCAAAACAATCAAGGCTAAGACTGAGGCCAAGCCCAACAGTTCTAAGGCCAAGACCGAGGCCAAGGCCTTAAAGAATAACAACTCTGCCTACCTTACCCCTAAAAGTACTACTTCTATCTTGATTCTCTGCGCGGTAACTTCATGTTTTAAAATTTATGCTTGACAATTATAAGGTTGAGAGATTTGTTTTTATAAAAAAAAACAAAAAACAAGGGCCTCCTCAACTATAGCAGTTCCTTGGGCCTCAGGTAGTTGAATATAAAAAAAAATATGTGCACACAACAAAAATTAAAAATAGCATAATAATAAAAATAAAGAGAATAACTTGCTTACTATTCATTTATCTTGCTTAGAGTTATGTAAACACATTTTTTATCTAGCTTAGAGTTATGTAAACACATTTTTTAATCTCGTTTAGAGTTATGTAAACACATTTTTTATCTCGCTTAGAGTTATGTAAACACATTTTTTATCTCACTTAGAGTCATGTAAACATATTTTTCATTTATCTTGCTTAGAGTTATGTAAACACATTTTTTATCTTGCTTAGAGTTATGTAAACACATTTTTTTATCTCGCTTAGAGTTCAGTAAACACACTTTTTTATTTCACTTAGAGCTATGTAAACACATTTTTTTATCTCATTTAGAGTTATGTAAACACATTTTTTATTTAATTATCATTATCAAGATATTATTATATCAGATAAAGTTTCAAAACCTTACTAATATCATTTGTGCAAACTGTTTATTAAAATTTTTACTGCCTTTATACAAAGAATAAGAAAGTTACAATAATCATTATATAATATCACAATTAAAACACATCAGGCTTGGTTGGGAAGCGGGTGCGATCGCACTCTATATCTGACCACACATATAATATTTAGTTGCGACATATTGTTCACAGCTTTTTAGATGTTTTACTACTTTAATACTCTTATTTATAACTTTTTTTATAAAATGACACTTTTATAAAAAGCAACAATCTACTGTTAATGATCATTTAGTAAAGAAACAAATGTTCTTCAATTTATCAAAGCGTATAATGTAAATCTATATTTACATTATACACTTTATATGGTCTATAATGATCAGTTTCTAAACTGCATACTATGTATACATTTAATAATAAGGAAGCAGAACTGCTTCGCAATACCACTAATGTATTTAGTGGTTAGACTTTTTAATGCATTTATATGTTTTTGTTCTGCATGGACTGCAGGCACAGCGCTTGTTCTCCTTAAGTCATTTTATATAAATGTATGTTTATGTTTTATTTGACCCTCTGGCCTGGTGTTCATCCACTCGTAACTCACTCTGTATATATGTATTTTTATGTTCAGTCGCCTCTAAGTTCCTGTTTGTTTATTTGATTATTAATTTTATTAACTTGGATGATTATTATTTTTTAGACTTTATTGAAATCGCAGTTGCTGTTGAAAGTCTTATTTTTATAAAATCGATCGCATAAACATTTTAAAAAGATTTATATCTAAAAAATAAAGAATTAATCTATATTATTATTTATATAATTATTTATTATAATTATTAATATTTAACTTTATATAATTCAAAAAATAAAAATAACCATTTTCTTTTTATAAATGATCAATAAAAGTAAATCATTGCTTAGTTAAAAAGCGCTTTGCTAATATTAAATTAATTGATTACAAAAGATTATTGTTATGTGTTTTATTGCCAGTATGAACAGGGTTAAAGTTTTTCTAAGAAATGAAATTTGTTTCAAATAAAACAGATAAAATTTCCAGACTTGTTAATTTTACCTCACGGTATACTTCTTTTAGTTTGTTTTATTATTTACCAAAACATTCCTATTTATAACATTACTATTATACAGGGCTCCCACTATGAAAGCTGAGGCTAAAAGTAAGGATTTTAAGGATATTTAAGGAGATTCGGTCACAAACAACAATTTTTTGAAAGAAAAAGTAAGGAGAATTAAGGAGAAAACAATTACATTAAAAACAGGATCTTATTTTTTTCAATAAATTTTAAAGTGATATCCAACTGCCGAGACAAGTTGTGTTCATATTAAAGAAAATGTTTAAAAAAAACATTTGGGCTAAATTTTTTTATTAAAACTTTATAATGAACGCACACCATTAAATTTAAAATTCATTTTTTAGTCGAAGCTTGCCATTTCATTTTTTTTGGTTCTCGGAGTCTGTATAATGTTAGCCGCAATCTGCAGACTTCATAATTTATTCCATGTGTGTTAATTCATAACAGTTTTGGTATATGATGTCATTGTATAAATTTTTTTCTTTTAAGATGTCGTATTATTTTTTTGCCAAAATCACCAAACCATGTTAATTGTATAACTTTTTACTAAATCCGAAAAAAGTTTATGATGCAATTAAGAATTATATTTATAAAAATAAAAATTTAATATATAATAAATATTTACAATAAAACGTAATGGTTTAAACTAAATATAAATTAGATACTAAAAGAATAATTTTACTAAAGCGAATAAATTAATTTAAGTATAAACTGAAAAAAAACCCGAGTGACTTGAATAAAACATATAAACTGAACTAAGTAGAAAATAAATATTAAACGACTTATTTTACTAATAACTGTTCAAATCAAACTAAATTAAAGTTAAAACAAATAATTGTTCTAAAATATACAAGAAATAGTTATAATATAAATATAAAAACAAAGAATTGCATTAAATTGTTTGCTACCAGCCGAAAAAAAATTTTTTAACAAAAATCTTTTTGTAGCAACCGCACATTTTTTTGAATAACATTTGAATAGCATACCATTGACAATTAATTAAAATTCGATAATAATAATGTTTTTAATACGCTTCATTAACATAACATTAAGTCCAAAACAGACCTCATTTAATGAATGAAAATAATATTTTTTCTTCAAAATTATTTTTGGTAATTACTTAACTAAATACTTAACACCTCTACAAGTTAATTTTACAGTGTTAACGCAGTTTAATTTTATAATTAAATTTAAAGTTTTTTTTTATGAAAGTTTATTCAAGATTTTTAACTTTTTTTTTAATTTTTTTTATAATTACACAATTATAGCTCTTATTTTTTCTTGATTATGTAGAGAATTAATTAAACCTTCAAAACAAACAAATTCTATATGTTTAGAATGGAAATTTATGTACTAAATTAAGATAAATTGTAAAGCATACTTGAAAGCCGCTACCAGTGGCTTGCGGTAGTGAAAGAGTTAAACCATAACTAAATGTAAATTAAACATAAAACGAACAACTCTATTGAACCATATAAACTAAATATATAAAGAAAAACTGCATCATACTCCCTTTATTTTTTTTTGCCTGATAACTCTAATAATCACAAAATATGTATAATTGTGTCATGATTTTGGCTGGCTTCTACAACATAAATAAATAATAAACACAAAACAACAATAAAACAAGTAAAAAATAATTATAAATATAAATATATATATATATATATATATATATATATATATATATATATATATATATATATATATATATATATATATATATATATATATATATATATATATATATATATATATATATATATATATATATATATATATATATATATATATATATATATATATATATATATATATATATATATATATATATATATATATATATATATATATATATTTGAATAATTTTTTACTAAATCACAAATATTTTTTGTGATTTAGTAAAAAATTATACTAATATTTAATTTTCTGATAGTAGTAGAAAAAATACTTTTATCTTTAAAAAAAACAACAACAAAAAAATGCTATCTTAAAAAGATACTGTGATGACGTCATATACTGAAACTAATATGAATTAACACGCATTGAATAAATTATCAAGTCTGCAGATTGCGGCTAACATTATACAGACCCCGAGAACCAAAATAAAATGGAGAAGGCGAGCTTCGACTAAAACGCTAATTTTAATTTTGTTGGTATGCATTCATTATTGGTATGTATTCAAAAATTTAGCCCAAATGTTTGTTTTTTTAACATTTTCTTTAATATGAACACAACTTGTCTCGGCAGTTGGGGATCTCTTTAAGTATAAACAGAAAAAATATTATAAATTAATAGATTACTTTAAATATATATATATATATATATATATATATATATATATATATATATGACTTGAGGACTTAAGAAGATTTTTTTAAAAGGATATTTAAGGTTTTTAAGGAGGAATGGGAACCCTGTTATAAGTAAAAACTGATCTATTTTATAAGGTCATCCCTAAGCAATCTTCCTCCAAATCTATGGATTTTTACCATTCTGTCTACCTCTTAACTATTCCTATCCCCAACATTTAGGTAGGAGTATAACATATTTTGAGTCATTTTTAACCACATCCCATCCCTAACCAATACACACTCACAACAGGCTTACATATTACTTTTATGGATTTACCCCTTAGTTTTTAACTAATTACATACTTTATGGACAACCCTTGAATACATTTACTTCATCAAAGTTTATAGTAAAGTAGTTTTCTGAGTTAACTAAACTCTGCCATAACCATAGGGCAGAGTTTTCACCTAAATAAAATATAACAGTAAAAAAACCTGTGCTGGATTTAACATTCCTCTGAAAGCTCGCAACAACTTATAACCTTCATTATTGCCACTTTTTGGATTAACAAACACTAAAATGGGCCGCCATTTTTTAAAATTTGGTTTTCTAACCTCTTTAATGACACAACTTTTGTGACCTAAAAAAAACAACATACCAATAGCAAATAAACTATACCTTTAACAGAGAAAAAAATTACATTTTCTATTAATTCAACATTAAAAATCAGTTTGATTTCAAAAGCTAGTCAAAACAGTAAACATTTTGAGACAAGTTCATTTGTCTCAAACAAAACAAATTCTCAATGAAAAGTTAAATGAGTATTTATATTAGATTTTAAAAGGCAATCTTTCTGTTTTCATATAATTGAAAAACGATAGATAAAACATATTTAAACTAATTACGCATCTTGATACTATATAAAAAACTATAGTCAGGTCAGGTTAATCCTGCTACTGGTAACATGTAACCCAGTGCAATCTGCTTCATGTCCAGCTGCCTTGTAGGATACATCTTTTTAGGCAAAAGCTAGGAGATGCCAACTCTGACATAAAACACCCCCTGCCTTGGGGCTCTTCGTTGAGTAAAGGCTAGAGATGGTGTCTCAATAAAAATACTCACCTAGGGCAGATGTTAAATACATCTGGTTGCTATCTTGTAGAAGGCCTCCTAGGCAAAAACATAAGGAGTAAACAGATTCTATCTGTTGACCTGCCTCACACTCCTTCTTTATCTATTAGGCTGGCGCAGATGTATTTTTAATACGTTGTTTCCACTTTAGGATGTTGAATGCTGAATCTTCTTGACTTGATGCATGGGTTTTGCTTGTGTCTGTTTTTATGACTAGGCAACTCATTTAATTATCTCCTGATGAGGGTACAGCTCTAAAACTCAGTTTCATGGTTCTGAGGACAGCTGGTAGTCAGGTTTACCGAACTCTGTGGTAGCTCTCAGAAAGGCTGATTCCATCAACAGCTGAAAAATATTAAAGTGCTAACAGTGTCGTGTTGCACATGGATGGTGTCCTTGTTTGTACTTGTGTTGTGCATTGCAAAAGCCACATTTGGAGCCTTTGTTACGACTTAGGATTTATTAATAGCAATGAGACAATTGCTTGGGCTAGAAAACAGTGTACTGAGTACTATCTATGTTTCGAGTCAAGTTCTTTAACAAATTTAAAAATAAATAAAGTAACAAAAACTATAAAACACAAAAAACCACTGTTTTTTGTGTTTTATAGTTCACCAAGTTCGCTAAATTTGCTATCATTCACTAATATTCATGGTCTTTGAACTTTTCTTCTGATGAGTCTTATCTCTTTCAAAGTTTACCAGAACTACTTGCTCTTTGTGAGACTAATTTGAGTTCAGCTGTCTCATCTTGTGATATTAGTGTTGATGGTTATCTTTCTTTAATTCGTAAAGACTCCAATAGTCACATGCTTGGCCTAGGCATTTACATTCGTAAGAATTCACCCATTTGTCAGGAAACTAGGTTTAAATCCACAGACTACTCTTTTATGTGATTTTGTTTAGCACTTCTTCACTTTATCACCTTTCTCTTTATTTTATATCGCTCTCCTTCATCTCAAGACTGCACTATTCTTGACGTTATTTCTGATCATATTGACTAAGCCCTCTCTCTTTACCCATCAGCCAATATTGCTGTTGTCGGTGACTTTAATGTTCATCACACTGAATGGCTTGGCTCTAGTTTCAGTAACTCTGCAGGCATTAAAACCCACAACTTTTGCCTTTCTCAATCCCTAACTCAAATAGTCAACTTTCCAACTCGCTTTCCAGACAAACCAAATCATTTACCTTCTCTACTTGACTTATGTCTCGTTTCTGATCCTAGTCAGTGCTCCACATTCACCCTTAGGTGCTTCCGATCACATTTCAATCTCTCTAAAACTATTATCTCATTCTTCTTTTTCATCAGAATCCCCCTATCATCATACATCTTACAACTACCTTAAAGCTGACTGGGACTCTTTCTGTGATTTTCTTTGTGATGGCCCTTAGGTAGAAATCTTTCGTCTTCCTGTTGACAAATGTGCTTCTTACATAACTTTGTGGATTCAGGCTGGCATGGAATCCTTTATTCCCTCTCGACGATTCCAGGTCAAGCCTCACTCTTCTCCATGGTTTTCCTCACATTGTGCTGCTGCAATTGCCAATCAAAATCATTACTTCCATATCTATCAGCAAAACAATTCTCCAGAAAACAGATATCTGTTTATTACTGATGGGAACCATTGTAAAAAGGTTTTGTCTAATGCCAAAACCCCCTATTCTCAGATCTTGAATTCTTGTGTTTCATCACAAAAATTAGGCTCTCGTGACTTCTGGAGAATCTTTAATAGTATCAATAATTAGGGCAAGTCTGTAATTCCACCTCTTTTGTATGGTTCAGACTTTGTCACCTCACCTAAAGACAAAGCTGAATTGTTTGCTAAGAACTATTCATCAATATCTTCTCTTGATTCCACTAGTTGCATTCTAGCTGATATAGCTTTCAAACAGGTTGATCCATTGCTTGAGATTCGTATCACTTCAGCCTCTGTATCTAAAGTGCAAAACTGTCATCTATCTTTTCAAAACTATTCAACAAGTGCTTATCAGAGTCTTGTTTTCCAGCCTGCTGGAAAGCAGCATCTGTTATCCCTATTTTTAAAAATTCTGGAGAGCAATCTGATTCGCCTAACTACCGTCCCATTAGTCTCCTTCCTATAATAAGCAAGGTTTTTGAATCTTTAATTAACAAACACTTAATCTCTCATCTTGAATCTAATAACTTAATCAATATATAACCGATAAGTTTTATCGATAAAGGTGGAAAGGTTAAGGCCATCGCTCTTGACATTTCTAAAGCATTTGATAAAGTTTGGCATGCTGGTCTTCTCCATAAACTTTCTTCTTAAAGTGTATCTGAAAACATCTTTAAGATTATTGAATCCTTCCTTTCCAATAGTAGTATAAAAGTTGTCCTTGATGGACAGCACTCTTCTTCTTATTCTGTAACCTCAGGGGTTCCTCAAGGTTTAATCCTTGGTCGTATACTTTTTTTAATTTACATTAACGATCTTCCAGATATCCTCACATCTAAGGTGGCATCGTTCGCTGATGATACTACCATTTGATCTTGTCACGATCAGGCTTGGTTGGGAAGCGGGAGTGATCGCTCTTGTATACTGACCACGGAAATTAAATTTAGTTGCGAAGAACTGGCCAGGTTTTTTAGTCGTTTTAAGAACATTTAAGTTTATGTACGAAACAAAAAAAAATTATATGGAAAATGTAATTTTTTAAGAATGTTTTTTATGTTTCCATACATGGAAACATAAAAAACTTGAATGTTCTTAAAACATCTTGGTGCATGATAATAAAAAGAATATTCGCAAACACTAAAAACCTGCCAAATTAACAAACAAACTAATTCTATTGTTTCAAAAAATACGCCAACTAAGTAAAATAAAGTTCTAGAGTATTCTGTTGAAATGTTTGAGAAATTGTATTCACGATTTTTACGTTTTGAGATTTCTAGCCTAAATAGTTTAATGAATATATTATCAATATTATGGCTCATTCTCAGAGCCACATCTGCACTATGGCTCTTCTCAGAGCCACATCTGCACTATGGCTCATTCTCTTCATTCCACTTCTGCAAAGCTGTAAATCTTACAAAAAATTATTATTTGTTTACAAAAATAAATGTCTTAAATATATATTATTTGAATTGTCAAAATTTTGAAAGTTTATTATAAATTACAGATTTTATTAGTATATTCTTATTTTTTATTTAAAAAGTATGTATTTTTTTTGTAAATGTAATTTTGTGTATCTGTTTTTTATCGCAATGTAATCTTTTAAAGCAAGTATTATGATTTAGTTTGTAAACAAAGACTTACAAAAATAATTGTGTTTTCAATGAAGCAATAAATAATCATTTAAGTTAAAAAAACTAATTTTGTAACAATAAGAAGAAACAATAAGAAGTTTCTGGTTACTAAACACAATGGATACAAAGTAACTCCGGATGAACAAGCACAGCACATGAGCTCACGACAGAACACAAATATATATAGCAAGTTTTTAGATATAAAGAAAAGTTTCTAGTTATTGGTTTACTAACTTTTTTCGCTTAAGTTTCTGCTTTAAATACTAATTAAAATTAAAAAGCCCACATACTAAACATCATCAGCGATATTGAGAAGCAGTTTCGCTTCCTTATCATAATTAACCTTTTTAGTTGATTTCTATCTAGTTAGTTTAATTTCTATAGTAACTTAATGATTATTTCATTTGTTTATCTTACTAAGAAGAATTGTTTCAAATATGTTAAACTTTTTAAACTACGCGAAACACAAAATAGGTATTAAAAAATTTAACTTTTTTATTTAAAAAATAATTTAGCTTAGAAAAAATTAAAACTTGCAAACTTTGTTAAATAAAGAATATTTGTTTCCTTTTTAAACAATCGTAAGATGTTACTAAATATAAAAAACATCGCTTAATTTTATAAAAAAATTATACAAGAGCGATGTTTCGAAAATATTTGTTCTAAACATAATTTATTTTGTTTTAAGTTTTTTTCGTGTTAAAAGAAATTTCATTTTCCTAATTTTTTTTTATTTTTTTTTTGTAATTGTTTCTCATCGGTTCAATTATTCTTTTGCGCATTTTTTTGTTTGTTTTTTAAAATGTTCTCAAAACGACTAAAAAATCTTCACAACTAAATATTATTTCTGTGGTCAGCAATCGAGAGCAATTTTTGGATATTTAAAATAACTGCCAGCTTTATGTAAAAAGCTGACAGATATATAGTCACCTCTTACAAGAGACCTCTATAGATCTCCTCTTTAAATTATCTAAAATATATAATACAAATAGTACTTGCGTTACATGCTTTTAAATATGGCCTGAATTACCTCATTTTACAATACAATGATAAATACTTAAAAGACTGCACTAAGTATATACGAAAAAAAAAACGGCTGTTGACTATAATAATACTGTTAGGGATTACAAAGTATATAAAAATGTTTGATAAAAAATCTTTTAATTTTTAGAGTTTCTTGAAGAGTTAACAAACAACTTATATAATTTCAAAAAACATTATTATGTCAGCAAATTTCAG